CGTCCCCAAAGGCCTCACTCATGATTGTTCTCGGTGGGGACAGATGAGTGAGGGGCTACTGCTCCAGTCTGCAGTGGGGTGTGCACCAAAGAACCCTCTATGCTCTTCTCTTCAAAAGGTGTTCCTTAAGAAGCATGTGGTTTACCTACCCATCTTTGCCCAGCTGAGCCACACTGTAAAAAAAAGGCATATCGGCTTTGTCCCTGACACTAAAGTTCATTTCTAAAAGGCACAAACATTTGTTGGACGGTTCTCCATTATTCCTTAGGAAGAGTTAAAGAAAACTGCAATGTCTTTCATAGTATGAAGTTGGGGGCATGAATTTAAAACCTAGCACTTAATGTGACTCTACGAATGCTGTGGGAATGCCAGTGTTCTACGTAGGGTCTGCATAGGTCAAACACATGAGGTTTACTGTGGACGGCCAGCCAAAAAGCAACAGAACACCAAGCCTTCTGCTGTTTTGTCTACCACGCCTATATCCGAAAAGCGTGAACGAGATTTCTTGACCACTTATTAGACTTTCTTTATAAGTTTCTTTTCATATTTCATCAGGTAAGTTCCTCTCTACTGCTACTATCTTTAGTAGTTGTAAGTAAAAAACAATGACTCTTATCTGCTGGTGAGAAATGAGAGCTTAAAACTACAAATATGATATTATACTTTCAGAAAATAATAAAGATATTTGATGAATGTTCACCAATTTCAGGAATTTCCAAAGAGAACCACAGTTATCCATATATTTCTAACAGGAGAAAACTACCATCTAAGAACAGCAAACACTCATAAAGCCACAGACGTTGTTATTAAAATGGAGGAAAGCTTTCATTTATTTAGATAATAAGCCATCTAAACAGTAAAAGCGTGATAAATTTAAAATAAACATAACCACGTTCCTTGCTCCTTTGTGGCCACAATGTGAATCATAGTCTCAAAAGAGTTCTAAAGGCAGCTTATTCATGGGCACCACATCCCATGTGCCCATATGCATTACAAACCTACCACACTCATGACAAATCCAGGAGTTTCGGTATCTGTCTGCCGACCCCATACACCTCTACTGGGATTGTGCTTCTTTATAACGTGGAAGAGCCACTCAACAGATAGCAAATGAAAGGGACTAGATGTATAGCAATGAAGGGGATGCAGTGTATTCGTGATCTGCAATGGGCTGTGGATTGTTTCCTCTTAGACATACCTATACCTCACACTTAAAATACTTTTTTAATCATCATCATCATCATCATCATCATCGTCATCATCACTCCATTTGATTTCCAACGTCCAGAACAGCGAAACAAAATTGTATAGGTCCCCCAGCGTTTTCCTAATTAAGATTTATTTTCCTTTTCCCTAAAATCCTTGTTGGGTAGAGAAGGGGAAAGGGTACCAAGATAGTAGACAGGAAAAAGTCTATTTAAAATGCCAAGTGAGGAGTAAAAGGCTACAGCTCTTGATCTCGCAGGTAATGAGGGCAGACCACTCAATCATGCAAAAATAGAGGCAAGAGCAATCTCCCTCTCCATACTTAACACGTGAAGTCTAGTTCAAAAAGCGGGATTCATATGCCACGCTGGTTTATTCTGCTTCTAATTCCAATGAGAATGAAAACTGAGAACGAAAACTAAGGACAAATACTTTGTTCCTTGAAGTGTGACACTCACACCAGCAGCAGCAGCATCAGAGGTACTTTTCAGAAATTCAGACTTTCAGGCCCAACCCCAGACATACTGAATCAGAATCTGCATTTAACAAGATGCCCAGGTGACATGTCTGTACATGGGGGTTTGAGAAGTGCTGCTCTAGAGGACTTGGAGTGAGTGAGCAGTAAACAGCTAATCCCTTCCTATGGAGGATGTTTACTTAGCTGCAAATAAATTCTCTACCTTGTCCAGAAGAACAACTCCTCCTGTACTTGGAGGAAAAAAAAAAAAAAAAGACTTTGCATCTCTGTTCTTACTAGCAAGTTACTGAACTTCTCTGAGTAACTTCTATTTACCTTAAAAAAAGAAAAAGAAAAGAAAATGTTTTCCAGGGCTGTTATGAGAATTACATGAAGGAGTAAGGACATGTAAGGATGGCCAGGCATGTTCCTGGCACAGGCAGAAAACTGCTTCTGATTCAGCAGCATGGGAAATAAAGGATCTGCAAACATTGTTTTAACATTGAAATAATAATGCCAATTTCCCCAAAGCGAGTATATACATTTTGACAATTCCACAAATACATTTAGTTGTATAAAATAATCTTAAAATCAGTATGGAAAAAAGATATTTTTAACCAAGACAAGAAGGGTATGTGCTTTAAAAGAACAGAAAATAAAAGAATATATCAAATTCTGGAGAAAAATTCTATTAAAAACAACATAGAAAAATTTGTTTCTTACATAGCAATAGACAACAAAAATGAAAGCAATGAACAATAAGGCAAACCTAAATGGTAAATATTAGATAATTAATGAACATGAATTATGAAATGAAATGACATATATAAATATATATATATTTGCATACGTAAAATGAGGCTTGTGCTCACTGGTAGTAGAGGAAGTAAAAAACAAAGTAACAGTGAGATAACACTTTAAATCTCTCAGATTTGCAAAAATTAAAAAGTATCATAACACCAATAAAATGGCAACAAATATTTGTGTACATATAACGGGGTGTAATGGTACTCTTATTTCTGGGGACTGGATTCTCAGGACAGGATTGCTGGGTAAAGGCATGTACTAGTGGTAATGGTAGTAGCAGTATTAATCATAACAATAATAATTCCTACTGTAAGGACACTTGTGCCTCAATAATCTACCTCCTAGTAATCTACTTAGTGGAGATAATTATTGAGTATCATTATTGTATTACTAGTAGTAACAACAGTAAATACTACTACATAGATAGCATTTGCTAAGTGCCACTGTTCAAGCACTTTATATATATTAACTGTAATCCTCACAACTCTAAAAAATCTAGAAACTATCATTCCTATTTTACAGATTAGGAAACTGAGGCACTAAATGTTCCTGGCAAACAGAAGAGCTACTATATAAATGTTAGATATTTTGCTATCATTATTACATATCCTCTGATAGCAATTCCACTCCTGCAATTATAACTCAAATGAGAAAAACAATTTAATAAAAAAAAATCATGAATGTACATCCGAATGTACATCCGAATGTACACGAATGGATAGGTATATGTAAATATATCACTGTATGAAATAAAAAAAAAACACACAGAAGGACAGATACTAGGCAGTATCATATGGATTATTTTGTTGGAGGGAAGGTGATATAGGGAGTAGAAGGGGGCTAAAGAAAGGGAGAAGCAATCTCAATAATCAGAACACACACAGAAAGAGAGAAAGCTGAAGTACAGGATAATGACAAAGAAAAAACATTTTTCATTCTTTGGGGACACAAGAGGCCCTGGAGGAGCTTAAAGAGTAGGTGTTTTTAAGCAAATTTCATTACTCAGAAGAGCAATGTTTTTGTTAAATAACTTGGGTCTTCCTTCCCCTACACAATGCAGATTAAGAAAATTTCCAAAGCATTATTCTTTGCTGAACAAAAACAAGTCCTAGTAATTCCAAGTTTGAAAACTCAGTAATTGTCCATGTAAAGGCACTAAGATCACAAAAGAGTCACTATCTGATTATTTGACCTTGTCAAGTCACTAAGCTACATTTAGTTTTCTTATCCACAAAGTAAGGATGTTCGACCAGGTCATCTTTAAATCCCCTTTTAGTTATAAAAATGCGATGATTCTATAATTAATAAACATAAAGTAGGAAAGTGAAGAACTAGCAAATAGAAGTGATAATTATTATACATTTTAAAGAAACAAAGTCAGAAATCTTAATACCTTATAGCTAAGCAGGTAATGACCCACTTAAAAATGTACATCTTTAGAATTAAAAACTACAATAAGATCAATTAGTGATTTTATATTTTCAAGTGCTGAATTTAACTACTCAATACTTTAATTTTCATGTTGAGAAGAAAATGTTGCCAGTTTAGATATATTTCGGATTACTCACTGAAGGCTTAATTTGTCACCTTAAAATGGAGCCATCCATAAGGAGTTCAACCAAAATGTCATCCTCTAAAGAGGACATGTTTAAAAAGGCTGGTCAATGCCAGGCAGTCAGCCAAATAAATAAATTACACATTAAAATTTCTAACAGAAAAGTTTGAATATAAGTTACTAATAGAATACAAAATTGGCAAAAAAAAAAAAAAAAAACAAACCCAACAAACCATTATCTGCTTCGTTCCTGAAGCAACAGTTTTAATTTTTATATTTCCTCATAAGTTTTAGAAATAATAATGTGATTATTAATAACACTTAATGAAAATGTATGTCTGGATGAAAGCATAAAAAGTCACTAACTCATAGGGCATAAAGATTTCCATGAGCTTGTTAAATTTAATGTATTTTATTTCCTTAAATGGTTATGGGATTTTCCAAGAGCATACAAAAAATTCCTTAAAACTTTGCCAACTTAGAAATAGTTACATGAAAACCACCTTTTCTAGAAAAATCTGTCCAGTCTTTTGACAGGATATCTTATGAATTCTCACAAAAACAGCAATACTGCTTGCCACAACTAGGTTCTCTATAAGCTAGTATGACAGAGGGAAACAATTTATGGCTTGCACAGTTATCTGAAATTCCTGAAAACAAGCAGTCCCCTAAGTAGTATGCCATAATTTTCTTATCTACAAGCACAAGCACGTGCATTTATTTATATCCCTAGATTAACTTCATGTCTAATTTTACTGCTACTAGTATCCAGGGGTGGATTTCTTTTTCCGAATGGAACTTGAGCTAGATCAAAGGCATTTTAAGGTCAAAATTTTACTTCTCTGAAAAACAGAGGGTGTGATCCCATGTAATTAATTAGTACTTAGCCAGGCTCTCTGGCGCATTACGTGGTGGCTGTAGGAAACCCCATCCAGCGGTCCCCACCTGTTGGTGCAGTGGCACTGTTTGACTTACCCAAAACAGCAGATTGAGGGCGTACAGCAGGCAGCGAAGGCACTTCACGGAATCTTCTCTGGCCATTGTGAGCCCCGGAAGGGAGAAGCCCCATCTTTTCACCACATCCTACCTCCAAGGGCAAAGCAGCAGCGATCTGCAGGGGACGGGACAGAACAGGGGACTCTCACCTCCTCCTCCGCACCCCCAGCCCAGCCCTCCTCTGCCAGTCCTCAGCTGAGTGCAGAGTCTGGTCCAAAACCTAGTTCATTCTAGATACCGCTCCACCGAAAATCATTTGTTAAAGTTATAATAGTAACCTAATTCCCCAAAGTGCCAAATCAGCTTCAAATAACACCTGCTGAGAAGAGAAAAAGATAGACTCGGGATGAATGAAGGCGCACAGTAATCTCCAGTTCTCAAGGGGCACGCGGAGGTGTCCTCTGCATTCTGATGAGACGCTCTTTAAAACCTCCCTCAATCCGCGCCCCTCCTCGGGACAGCTCTGCTCGGAACTGTCCCAAAGGTTAGAAACCAAACTACCCCCTGGAGACGTCACAGGCGCCGCCGGCGAGTCTAAGGGTGAGAACGTCCCTCTCATTAGGATAGTTTCTGGGCCCCCCAACACCACACCCCCCATTCCATCCCGCAGCTCGAGTGTGAACGCGGGGCACTGGAGGGGGCGCAGCGCTGAGCTGGGATTCCGCCCGGCGACTAGGGTTTCTTTGGAAAAACGTGAGAAATGATGTTTCGGCCCCGGAATGATGGATTAGCCTGGGGCCGGGGGCGGGGAGGAGCGCAGGGGAATTAGGGCCGGTGCAGCTGTGCAGACGCCGGGTTAGTCATTCACGTCCCCTCCCCCGGCCCCGGCCGCTGCCGCGACCCCGCGCTCCCGGCGGCTGGAGGAGCACAAAGCCGAGCGTG